TAATCACATTCGATAATATATGATTGAGGACTCTAATGTTCTTATGCGTACATTAACAAGATTTACTTTCTACTCTTTCTGGACAATACACACAGCGCCATCTAGACCCAAGCTAGCTAAAGCTTGTGTTATAGGTACTAGACAACTGATGAAAATACATGGATTTTGTTTCGTTAACAAATACATATTGTACATAGAAAATACCCAGACCGATACAAACAATCACTCATGAATAAAAATGTTTGTGCCGTGCAAGGAATCGAACCCGCGAACATCGGAAGTAAGGCGGTGTGCTAAACCACTAGACCACCGAGGCTGTTAAATAATAAATAATCAATACATTAATTTTTACTAGCTGACCCACGCAACTTCGTCTGCATTATACTTACTTGACCGATTTGTATAATATCTTTTTAAATTATAGCCTGTGTCATTCTGAAGTATAAGCTATATTACTAAAAAGTTTCATCAAAATACGTTCAGCAGTTTTTGCGTTAAAAGTAATAAACATCCACCCATCCGTCCATCCATCCATCTGTATATTATCAATTTTTTTTATAATATTGCAATACAAATATATATTAAACAAAACGTAAATAAAATTATACAATTTCGACTAAGCAATACAAATAAATGATTAATAATTTGACAATTTGGTCCACGTGTGGTATTTTTGTAGATATTTCAATAGTAGTACCACAGATAACATAATATTACATAGTAGTACATATTACACCGTAGGTAGAAATTATTACCTATGATGTAATATATCGCGATAGAATATAAATTCACTTCCCGTGTCATGTTGGCCTGGTGTCATGAGGAACACCATGAAGTGGCATGGAGTTTTTAGTGAGTACAAATCTCACGTCTTCCCTTGGCCTCACCGTGTTCCCTTGGTGGTCGAATCAAAAATAAAAAAGGTAGGCATGACTACCCCAAAAGACCTATAACTACAGAGGGTTCGTTGACAAATTGCTTCACAATTGAACAGGACAGTTGCACCCTTGTGTGGCAGATACTCTATCCCCCGACGCGTCTATGACGAACTGCACAAAACATGTTTGTTTTATTTATGTTATGATTATTATTCCTAACTAGCTGTACCCGCGACTTCGTCCGCGTGGATTTTAACTTTATTTTTCTAAAATAAAATGTAAGTTACTCCTTATTACATCAGCTAATAAAAGTCTCGTCAAAATCGGTCCAGCCATTTCAGAGATTAGCCGGAACAAACAGACAGACAGACAGACAGACAAAAATGATAAAAAATGTTATTTTGGTGTGTGTACCGTATTTATATTCATATGCATGTAGTATAAACCGGTTATTTCAATATTACACACAGACACTCCAATTTTATTTAAATGTATAGATAATATATATATATATATATATATATATATATTATATACCGTGACTTCGCTTACTACTTTTATGGATGTAAGTGCTCGTTATTTACGAAGGAACAGATTTTTCTTCAATCTTTGTATTCAATTTATTGTTAGGAATATTTGACATTGTGTACGTTTTAGACTAGTGAATGATTTTGTAACTCAATTATTGTTAAATTCGATACAATACTTTATTGGTATGAATAAATAAATAAAGAAATTAGTACATTAAAACCCCTAATAATAGGGATACGTTTTTATAAGTTCCAGTGCTAAACAAAACAGTGTTAAACGAGACTACCTTACTTTCTGTTCTTCAGAATCACTACTAACAATATTTGTGTGTTCTTCTTGCTCGGTTAATTCCTTGAACTCATTATTAGAAAGACTAGCTGCTGTTTCTTGATTGCCTCGACGTCTTTCCGTTATGTTCCGATTCCCAGGATTGAAATAAAGGAGCGTTAAACCGAAATATCGGTAAGCGGAGTCTTACTGTATCTACATACATCCTTGAAAATCATAGTGTTTCTACCCCATTTTGATCGCAAAGTATGAATTCGAATTTGACAGATACCAATATTTTTGAGTCGAAAATTAACTTTCTGTTACACACTCTTATGATATGTCAAATCTACCGTCAATTCGGAATGATTTCGAGATGAGAACTGACAAGAAACTCAGCTCTTATTCTTTGAAATGACACACATGTTCCTTTCACACAGTAATGTTTGTTCTTTTGTGTGCAGTATAACACTTATAGTCTCACAAATCACAACAGATCTGTGTATTAATCAATCTCTCGATGGCAATTATCTCACCCCATGCTTCCAAATTCACCATTGTATGTGTTTCATAATGAATATAAATATAATCGAATATCATAGAGACTAAAGGTAGTCCAATTATTCAAATCGGCCACGGTGGTCTGGCGGTTTAGCACACCTCACTTCCAATGGTCGCGGGTTCGATTCCTCACACGGTACAAGCTATTATATTCATGAGTATAATTGTTTGTATCTGTCTGACTGTTTTGTATGTATATTATGTAGGTATTTAAAAAAAATATTCAGTGCACAAACCTGACCACCGCTACTGGAAGCGTTATGACCTTCTCTGTTAGTGATCAAATTCCGACCGTTATTTTATCTACACCCATATACACATATTACCTCTAAACAAGACATCATCAGACAATGTACATATAGTTTGAATATATTTTGTAAGACTATTGTTGACTGTTCGGCGACCAAACTACGACTCCTTTTACAGTTTACCTCTAGTAACATACCTACTACATCTTACTAATATTATAAACTTGAAAGTTTGTGAGTGTGGATGGATATATGTTTGTTACTCTTTCACGCAAAAACTACTATACGGATTTTCATGAAACTTTAGAGTAATATAGCTTCTACATCATACATATATTTCCATACTAATATTATAAATGCAAAAGTAACACTATCTGTGTCTCGCTTTGACGCCAAAACTACTAAACCGATTTAAATGAAATTTGGTACACAAATGACCCAGGCCCTGAGAAAGACATTGGCTACATTTTATAGCGAAAATGGATGTAAGGGGTTGGAAGGGGAGATAAAAGGTTGTACACAAATATTGTTTTTAGGCTATTGATTAAATTTAAATAAATACGACATTCAAAGTGTGTAGAAATTTTACCTTTAAGGGGGTAAATAGATTTGGGGATGAAAATTCGTCATTTAATGTCTATTCCACGCGGACGAAGTCGCGGGCACAGCTAGTCCAGTATAAGAGGGTAATAGAGACGGTCTGGGTATCCCGCCGCCTCACTGATTTACACCGAATTATTGTACGTATAAATTCAACAACTAACAAACTTTTTACGACGCCACGTTTACGACTCCATAGCGTTTCGGAACGTGTTTATTTTTATTTCCACCCGACGCCGTGTTAAATAAAATCGCGTTTCTATAATAGATTTTAATTAAAGCATATACGACTTGTGACAATCGTGTACGGACATAAATTTAACACTAAAAGTATCTGGTGAACGTTTTTATATTTTAATTTCGTCTAACCTTTTAACGATCGTAATCTATTTACTCTAATGTAGAAAGTTGAAGATTGTTTGTTAGTTTGAACGCGCTAATTTCTGAAAATTACTGGTCAAATTTGAAAATTTGTTTTTACGATTTTTAGCCCAATACTTCAGAAAGGTTATAGACGTGTAATATAATGCTTTCACCTTTGATAGCCAATCGAAAAGAAAAAAAAAGAAGAAATCCTAGCCCAAAAACGTTCTGGCAGTTTGTTGTAAAATCTTACAAATCTCATAAAATGAATTACTAATTTCTTCTAACCATTTAACGATCGCAATCTATTTTAATATGTGACTTTTACTTCTTTGTTTGAAAGCGCAATTTTCTGAAAATTACCAGTCGGGTTTGTAAGGCCCTTTTTGACATTTTTAGCCTAATACTTCAGGAAGATTATAGACTATTTTATATAACAAAAAAGAATTAAACCAGAAGAAATAAAACTTGAAAAAAGAAATAACCCAAAAGCGTAGATTTAGCGCATGCGGATATGGTTTAATATAATGATCTCGGATACAAGACGGCCGTCATTTTTTTAAAATTACACTGCGAGTGAAATCGCGGCGGATCTCTAGTTTACTGTATCACTAAATATATAGCCTGATTATAGAAGCGACACGACTTTGTGTGTCCACACACACAAATGTGTGCATGTAGCAGTCCATCACAGACAAGTTGTTGGTACACGTGTTGTTAACATATTTTTTTTATAAATGATAATGTAATGGTGGACCCGCCTGCGCTATGGTTTACGCTGGCGGGGTACCAGTGGAGGATGATAAGATGAGAATGAAGTCAGGTCAGTTAGCCCATCGTGACAAATTCACCAAGAATTTATCACGATGGTTTCCAGGGGGAACCGCGTGGAGGTCAACCTGACATGGTACATTGCTAGCAATAAGATCATCAATCCACATTACTAACAATCCCCTTTCCCCCCTGTTAACATATTACATGCCGCTTGCTGGCTCTAGCTCTATATTTTCCAGCTAAGTAACTAACTCAAATTCAAGTAAACGAGTGCTGCTTGTAGGGACTGGTCTGCTCTAATCACTACGACAGTTTTAGCCCTAATGTGTACTTAATTTCTGACCCTACTAAATTAGTGCTAGTTGGCGATTTGTATTCGCACGTTTCGAATTGGAAATGTAAAATGGCTGGCTCATCCTACATACTCGTGAACGAGTGCTGCTTGTAGGGACTGGTCTGCTTTTATCACTACGACTGATTTAATGTTATTGTATATTTATATTGGATCCTAATAAATTAGTGCTGGTTGGTAGTTTTTATTCACACGTTTCGACTTGTAAATGTGAACTTACAAGGATTGTTTAAAAGAGCAACACGCAATGTTCTTGCTCGTTCTTCTTGTGATGAGACAGCTTTCCAAATGAGCGGTAGATTTAAAAAAAAAATGTTGACTGTTCAAAAGTGCTTAAATTAAGTTTATTTCATTAAATGATTTTCTATCCTATTCTATTCTAAATAAAAAAAATATTATTAAATATTATTTTTTCTTTGTTTCCAGGTGTTGAAGTACTGCGAACATCTGCACGGAAAATGGTACTTCAGCGAGATTCGCGCTATCTTCTCGCGGCGGTACCTGCTGCAGAATGTCGCTATCGAAATGTTCCTCGCCAGCAGAAGTAAGCACATTCTTCTCCAATTCATACCTTCACTTGTCTTCAACTTCACTTTTCTATGTCAATTTTAGTTATTACTAAGGTTTTGACCAATTAGTTAATATTAATTTGATTATCTCAGATCAGCGCGACGGTTAACTGGTGGAAAATGTCATCAGGCATTAAGACCGCCAGTATACGAGTTTGTGTGCAAAAGAATTACAGTTATTGTACTGAATAACGAAATTTAATTATAAATAATATCACTTAGAAATGAAGTTATAAATTTGAAATGATATACATTCAAATATATATATATATGTATATGTATATGGGTAGATAAGTATTTAAAAAAAAACTGAGCATTATCTTGTCAACAAACTGTTCTACAGTTTGGCGGGTCAATGTATAAAAATAACTGTACTTATCTTTATTAAATACATGTTATAAATAACTTCGAGATACTGTCCAATAAAAAAAAGTATAAAGTGGGATTATACCTTTAAAAAAATACATCGTAGTTATAACAGATTGCAGGAAAGTGTTTGCAAAAAAATTTTCACACACAAATCTTTGAAACGTCTCGACTTATTTTTTATGTGAAGTGACAAAATACTTGTAAGTCTTAAAGTTAAATGTAGAAGATGATAAAAAATTTGGTCAATCAACATCCATATAGTATGTATAAATAAATTCTTTAGTTCTTTGATCTTTTACACACTTTAGCACACAGTCGTTTGGAAAGTGTCAAAATACTTTAAGACTTAAAATTAAATGTAGAAAACCATAAAAATTTAGACAATACAAAATAAAGCACAATAAAGCCCACACAGTTGTTTTTTATCTTCTAAAATGACACACTGCTCCTTTATGATTCCAGCGTCCATATTCTTCGCGTTCCCGGACCAGGCAACAGTGAAGAAAGTGATCAAAGCACTGCCTCGAGTGGGTGTCGGCATCAAGTACGGCATCCCGCAGACCAGGTCAGTGCTCATTTTTTTTTATAGCACAGGACAGACAAGCATGCGGCTCGCCTGATGGTAAGTGATTACCGCCATCCATGAGCATCCGCAACTCCAGGGGAATTGCAAATACGTCGTCGCCGTTTTAAAAAGGAATAAGATCTTTTCTACAAGTTTTCCATTTCGTATCGGTTCGGAAATACCATTGCTGGAAGGTGATTCCACAATGTGGTTGTGCGTGGCAAAATTTTTCTAGAAAACCGCACAGTGGAGGACCGCTATTCATCCTCAGAATGATCAGGTGATGATGATCAGTGATGATCAGGGTGGTATTTTAGTTTCTAGCGGGTGGTACGGTTGTGAAAATCAGCAGCTGGTATTAATCCGAACAATTCCTCAGAACACCACGATATTTTATAGACCCTACTATGATCTTCATACTCAATAGTTAATCGGTACTCGTAAATGCAAATAAAGTATAAAATCCTTACAGCTAGTAAAAAACACGAATTCTTAAAGAAAAACAAAATATACTCAATACTCAAATGTATGTTAGGTCTTCACCCGCTTCATAAGTCCTTCCGCGGGTTTGCAGTGTCATCTGCACTCGCTCCTAATGACCGGTGAAGCTGTAAAGCCTATTGCCAACAGCATAAGATTAGTCAGAAAAATACATCCTTTCTAATTTATTCAAATATATCTCGCCAGTTTTTTTTTGGACTACTCTAATGCTGTTGGCCGCAGCTGGCCTTTATAGCTTGACCGGACGTTAGGGGGCGAGTGCAGATGGCACTCCAAACCAAAGGAAGGACTTATGGAGCGGCTGAAGGCCAACTCTTTCCTGACGGATACGATATATCTCGCCAGTACCTACCTATATATATATGTAGTACATACATTCTGTTAATGTACTATTGCTATTTTTATTAAACAGGTGCTGCCACCTATGAATATTATTACATACTTGTAAGCATACATCAATAGCATAGTCTGCTTAATGAAGTTTTAGTAACAATAAATGATTATAGATGGCGTTACTTTATTTGTAAATACTGATATGAATTTCTATACCATGATTATATTGCGAGCAGCAGGACCGATCGTCGTGGAGATCTTTGGGGGAGACCTATGTCCAGCAGTGGACGCCTTACGGGCTGCGATGATGATGATGATGATGATTAAATTGTGTACTAAACGAAATAAGTAATAATATTAAATGAAAACTACAACTGAAATAATTTTACCTCTAAATAAACAGTAATACCATGTTACGACGTGCTAAAATTTGATAGAATTATTAATTATGTAGACAGAATTCTAATGCTAAAATTAGCAGAAAAAATATTCGACGTTAGTTCAATTTTAGCATGATTGTCTACTTAAATTTTGACCACGATTTGGGAAAAATATCTATTTGAATATATGTCCAATATTGATTATTTTATTAATATTATAAACACGAAAGTTTGTGAGTATGGATGGATGTTTGTTACTTTTTCACGCAAATACTACTAAACGGATTCTTATGTAACTTTACAGTAGTATAGTTCATACATCAGAATAACGTATAGGCTATTCACGCGGCTGAAACCGCGGGACAGTAATTTTATAGATTTTTTAAAAACAAATAGTAGTAGAACTTCAATAACAATATATAAAATTCTCGTATCATAGTGTTCGTTGCACTACTTCTACGAAATTGCAAAACCGATTTTGATGAAATTTTACATGTATACTCGGTAAAAGAGTAGGTTGTTATGTATTTATATACCGCTATGTGATAAGGGTTGAATGTTTTATTTTTTGGACAATATATTTATGTTGTTTTTTTTATATCCTGTCTTTCAAGTGGGATCAAATTGCACACAATGTGCAAATCAAATTAGCAAACGGTTCAGTAGTTTAGGAGTCCATCGCGAACAAACAACAAGACACGTAATTTTTATTCACGTTAAAGGCACACGCACACACAAAACACTATAATAAATACAAAAATAAAAACAGATATACAATTACATTAGCCAAGTCAAACAAAATACAATACACAACAAATATATAGATAAAATAAAATGCAATACAGTTAACAACAAAAAAAACGGTATGACTAACGTAGTGTGTGTGCATAGCCCATACGCAAAAATAATATGTTTAGAAAAACAAACAGACCAATACAAAGAGCGTTGCTCAATACTTTTTGATATTGTAATGTGGTGATCGAACCGGCGACCACTAGAAGGCGAGGCAGTGTGCTAAATTTTTGCACCACCGCGGTTGTCAAAAAATAAAACAAATTATTGAAAACAACACGTTTTATATTCAAACGGATATTAAATATTATGATCACAGTAATATTCATATAACACATTCACTCTGCAATAAATTGATTTCAAACGTAACTAGAACTATTTATTTATATACAGAAATGCTTTTTTTATAATATTATAAAACATACAAAAATATTTCGCCTCAATAGGTACTGGCTTATGTTGAATGATTTCGTATTCAACTAACAATTTGAAAATGCAATAAGTTAATTTTTAACTCGAATTCATAACCCAGTTAATTAACGCTGTTGCTAACATTTTTTTATGTAATTGAAATAACAAACTAACTACCACTTGATGGTATGTGGTAACCGTCACCCATATACATGACAGCACTACGGACATCTCGTTATCATGTCCGTGATATCACTCATGCGTTTCCATTTCAGAGAACTATACTGTCAAATATTCTATTTTTTCTCTTTATTTATTTAGAATCTTAGAGCGTATCGTAGAATTTCATATAAAGATAAAAAATGTACATTTTTGTAATTATAATGTATATAGCATTTTAAAGTTGTAATTTTAAACTGAGCAACTTAGCTTAGCATCTGCAACTATAAAATTGATTGTTTCAATCGTTTATTACTAACAGCGTTAAATAATTAAGCTATTATTTCAATCAAACAACCTTGCTACTCAACTAAGTTTTGAATATTACTTCTGCAACTATAGGAACAGTTCCGAGACAATTGCAAACACATTGATTTTAAGCTGTTTCAATTGATAATTGTTACTAACAGCGTTACATAATCAAACCATTGTTTCAATCAAACAATCTTGCTACGCAACTAAGTTTTGAATAATATATTCTATCCATAGTATTGCACTCAAAATACACTATAAATCCATAATTCATAAAACCTTGAAACGTAAACCTATTACTGCTATTAAATTGTTTTGTCCCATTCTTTATTCTTATTATCTGATTGTAAAGAAAATGACAAAACAATAGTTAAAGAACTGTCATTGTATTTAGGAGTTATTAACCAAAATTTCAATAATAATTCATCTTAAATCCATAACAATCAAATTTGAGAGGTGGAGATATCTGAAAATGCTAAAAATTTCCCCTTATATTTGCTACGGAGAGATTTTACCAGCCACAATTTGCTTTCCACTCTGCTAAAGCCAGTCTGTTTTATGTTTGTACTTAAAAATAGCCAATAATATATTATATACAATATCTTAATAAAAATCGTCACTTTGTATACATTATAACAACTAAAAACTATGGAATGTAACACACTTAAATCTAATTCAATCACAAAAATTATAGAAATATTCGATCACATTGCAACATCAATCACATATTGGTAACTATCATTCAAAAGTAATACTTTGAACTTAACAAGTGCTAATTAAATATTTATTAAATACAGGGTTAGTAATAAATACACTGAGACGAAAGTCAAAGATAAAATTGTTGAAACTGAAGTTATATCAACAAGAAACAAAGTAGACTATACTACTGCTAATGAGGAAAGATTTGATCTTTTGTTCACAATAGATGAACTCAAAAACTTGACAGAATTATAAAATTCTTTCACCTATGCATATAAAGCTATATTATCAACCAGTAACGTAGTCTATATTCCACGCAACGATGCGGGATTTGCTAGTCTTAAAATAGATTTACACCTTTCCAAGTTAGCTCACCCCGTAGTTTTCTACTTTGCTTTTTGAAATACTTTACTTTCAATAATATTACCCCTGACTTACGTTCTCTTTAGAACTAATCCTTGTACATCGAGTTTTCTAATTTATTCTTTTTGTTTAGTCTTTTCGTCTTTTTCCTCTATCCAGTACGGTGTGAATAAATCTTTGTTTTTCTCTAAAGAGACCGCAGCTCCTGCGCTGTGCCTTCGCTGTACCTGTCTATCTTCAATACTGTACTGTTTGTCTTTTGAGAAACAAGCCTCAGGGTCTGAATCGTTCCTATCTTCATCAAACTGCCTCATTATTTCAGTCAACGACTTGCCCTTAGTCTCTGGTAGGAACCATAAACAATATGCTGCTCCTATTAAAGCACAGACTCCGAATAAATATAGAGTACCGTTGCTAGTCAGTAATTTTTCCAACTGAGGATAAGTCTTTATGTTAAAGAAGATCAGGACGTAAGCGCAACATGATGTGGCTCCAGACATGACTCCTCTAATGTCCTGAGGATATAACTCCCCAGACATAATCCACGGTAATTGTAGAAAACCTACCATGCTGAAAGACACGTGTAGAAGAACACAAGCTAGTTTTACTAGTGGTGGCCCATTAAATGTGTCACAAATGGCTGCTCCGAGCATCGCCATGCCTAATAAAAGTCCCGATGTTGCAGCTAAAGTTTTTCTTCTAAAGCTGTTGATCAGGCACGCTCCTACAGCACCCATGAAGACTCTTACTCCTCCAACAATGATAGAAGCGGTGAATTCATTTACGCTAGTACCCACAGATTTGAAGAAATCAACCGCATAGTACAGGATGACATAAATACCTGACATCTCTTGGAATATAAAGAACACTATCAGCACTATAAAAGGTTTTAGTACACTCCTCCGTTTGAACAGACACAATTTCTCTTTGAACGACATTGTCTCTCCAGACTTTCGGTCTTTCGTGAACTCCATTAGTTCCTGCTGGGCTGCACTGTTGTTTTGGCGAAGCCAGAACATTGAGATATACGCTTCCTTCATGTGCCCTTTAGAAGCTAGCCATAGTGGCGATTCTGGGACGAAGTACATCAGGAATGGGGTAAGTAGTGATACTCCAGCGCAGATAGCAGCGACCTTCCTCCAGTGCACGAAAGCACCTAATGAGTAGACCACAAATATGCCAGTAGACACCAGGCCTGGACCTAGTGCGCTCAGGACCCCTCTTTTCTCTGGTGTCGTGATTTCTGCGACATATATGTATGAGACTGTTGACATACCTGTAAAGTAATGAAAAAAAAAGTTTTAATAAATAAATTTTCATCACAACAGTTGTATAAACTAATTTATAACTATGTTACAGGCTGGCTCGTCTATTGGTTTAAGATACCGCTTTATTACCGAATGCTCGATTGCTCCCAAGGTGCATTATATTCATGAGTATGATTGCTTCTATTGGATCAATAGATCAAATCAATCCGACCGTAACCACTTCTCATCAGTTAAACCGCCATCTTATTCGGCAAAATATTAATTCGTTAGCTAGTTCAATAAAATTCAGACTGCATTATAGTATTTCATCAGTTTTATTTATACCTACGTAGGTAAGGTTTTATTTCATAATATTTACAACATAAATAGTTGTAATATTTATTCGAACGATCTTATTAAGGTAAAATATCCTTGCAATCATGAACACTATCATCAACTCACTGCTGGACATAGGCCTCTCCCAAGGCACAATCTTGGGCCCTTCTCGTCCAATTTTTACCCGCAACCGTCCCGTTATGCCGTCGTTCCACCTACATCTCTGCTATTTAATACAAATAACAACTTACCGATTGTAAACCCGGTGATGAATCTGCCCACACATAGGAACACGTAGGTCTCTGAAAAGGCGATGACCAGCCATCCAATGAGATTAGGCAGCACGATACTCTGCAGCAGCAGACGTCTGCCGACTGCGTCCACCATCATACCTCCCAGCAGTGCGCCCACTGGGTTAGATATTACACCCAAACTCGCTACAACAAAAGACATTATGGTTATAGTACAAAGAAAAGTTTTATTTTTATTTTTAAAAGTTGCCGGTTACAAGGCTCTTTGCCTGTATTTAATTAATTTTGTTGTAAATATTTAGATTTTACTTCAAACTTTGTACTTTGATTGTGATATTTACATTTATTATTGACTTAATACCTTGTATTAATTTATTTAGTGTTTTTTGTAGAATATAAGAATCCATAGTTTTTACAATTCCTATTTCATAATTATCCATTCTAGATTTCTTAAGATTTATATTTGTACAATATAGTTTTGACAACTTAATACTCTGAATTACTCCAACCAAGATATACCAAAAACCCTCTCTGCTATGAGTTGAATATAATTGTAGCAGTACGTGAACAAACAATTAGATAATTACACGTGTGATAAACCAGTATTTACACAAAAAAACACATGCGTAATGTATACACAGCGCATTCCCTTTATCTTCAAACGAAAGTTCTTTACTATCAGTTATATAAAATTTTACATATTTATCTTATATATTAAAATGTATCTTTGTTTGTACGTGTTTTATGGGGCCGTGCCATTCATCACATTGCGATAAAACTTTGCCAACTTTTAATTAATGATTCCATTGTGTAGATGTACTTAAAACCAATTATTTCTTTGTATTAATTAATTATAATTAAAGTAGGTTAACAATCTTGTTAAATTATTGTTATTGGTACATAATATAGGTTACAGGTAATGTTATTCAAAAGTACTTCAGTGGCACTATAGTCTAAGCTTTGTTTTCTTTTATATTAAGTGTGTACAAAGATTATTTTTATATTTTAATAGACTAGCTGACCAGCAAATGTTATTTTGCCATATAAATTAGTATTAATATTACTATTAAAAATAGGTGTTTGTGGTAGAAGAGTCAATATTTAGGGTACATTTATTTTTAATGCCACATCTTGAAAATCAAATTATTATCCAAACAAAAAAAATATTTAGGCTTGGCCCTTATTATTTTAGGGTTTTAAAAATGGATAACAACCTATCCTCAGACCTACCGATTTTGTTGACACATATATAATATATGTAAAGTGTACATATATTATATGTATTTCAACAAAATCGACCAAACCATTTTTGACACGAGAATTTTGTGTATCAGAACATAGATTTATTATCATCATCTGCTTCTTCCTTATACCATTTATTTCTGATCGACGTAATATGTTTTTATCTTCCGTTCATCCCTGTTCGCAGTCATCTCGTTATTCACTCCCTTTCTTATCATATCATCTTTCACACAGTCCATCCATCTTTTTTCAGCCTTCCACTGTCGTTATAACCATCCACATTCATATGTAGAAAATAGTATCCAAGTTTAATATATATAATCCCTTTATTGCCTTATCATCTTTCACACAGTCCATCCTTCTCTTTTTTGGCCTTCCTCTAGTTATAACTATCCACATTCATATATAGAGGATATTAACCAAGTTTAATATATATAATTCCTTTATTGCCTTATCTTCTTTCACGCAGTCCATCCATCTCTTTATTCTCCTCTGCCGCTATACACATGCACATATAGAAGATCTATCCAAGTTTACAATACACTAAACAGTGTTCCTGAACCGTGAGTATCAATAAATGAACCCGATTATGTCCCCATCGTCCCCTCTCGTAGTGTTATCGGTCTCGACAGAATTTTGTGAAGGCACGCGGCCTCCATAAATATATTATGTACACAAACAACACTATCTCTCGTTAGTAGACTCTATTTATATATAATATATTAATTTTCCATTGATATTACGCAATTATATGTAATTCATGTGATTTATTTACTCAGTGTAATAGTTTATTGTGATTCTTCTCAACTCGAAATCATTCCGAACTGACGGTAGATTTGACATATCATAAGAGTCTGTAATAGACCTACATGAATAAAAATATTTTGAATTTGAATTTGAACGTAAATAAAATGTAATGTACGATTGATTTTTTTATCTACTGTTATAGTAGTTTTAGTCTGTCATGTTATTAATATTATGAACGCGAAAGTTTGTTAGTATGGATGGTTGGATATTTGCTATCTTTCACTCTTTTTTTTAATCTGTCTATTTATTATACATTACATGAAAAATATATAACAATGTGTTTGTCATTGATTTGTAAGCAGGTACCAATAGTATCAATAGTATTATATATAAATATATATAATACTATTGATGTATTGATAATAGTATAACTATACTACAGTATAAATGCTGAGTGGGAGTCACATTCACCGTTACTAGTATATTTTAGATTTTAAGTTGTATAGTAAAAAAGAATACTGTAATGCTGATAAATGTCTATTACTAACTACTCGCCCCGGCTTCGCACGGGTGTACATGTTATTAACATTGCTCTTGAATCACTCTATCCTTTTAAAGCAACCGCTTCAAAATCCGTTGCGTTGTTTTAAAGATTTAAGCATACATAGGGACGGACAGATTTTTAGATAAAAATAATAATAGACAGACAGCGACAGAAACTTTGTCTTATACTATGTAATGATAATGTATACTATATAATATATTTACACAGCTTAAATAAAGTTAAACCGAGAATGTTCCAGTAATAAATACATATACCAAATATCTGAATGAAATAACAGTAAACAGAACACCTGTTATTATGTTATTTATATTCTATAATGTTTATATTTCAATTCATCAAGCAATTCATCGAAATAGTCTTTCGAATTTATTATCTATAACTGTACCCGTGACTTCGTCTGCATGGAATTTAACTTTATATTTCTAAAACAAAAGTAGCCTAAGTTACTCCTTATTACATCAGCTACCGATCAATAAAAGTCCCATCAAAGTCGCTCCAGCCATTTCACAAACATAGAGATCCTTATTACATCAGCTACCGATCAATAAAAGTCCCGTCAAAGTCGGTCCAGCCATTTCAAAGATTAGCCGGAACAAACAGACAGACAAAATTGCCTAAAATGTTATTTTGGTGTATATACCGTATTTATATTAGATGCATGAAGTAAAAAAGGGTATTTCAACAAACAGACTCTCCAATTTTATCATCTATATATATTTTACTAATATTATAAACGCGAAAGTTTGTATGTATGGATAGATAGATTAAATTTAAAAAAAATATTGTATGGATAGATAGATGTTTATTACTCTTTCAAGCAAATCTGTACTGATTTTGATGAAACTTTACATTAAAATTGTTTATACATCAGAATAATACATTTCACGCGGGTGAAACCGGCGCACGCACAGTTGTATATCATAAGAATATCCTTCAATTCTTGTCCTTAATGGGTCTAGGTAGCGAATTTTGAAAAATGGCGAGCACAATAGATCTATTGAGGTCACAGTGTAACAGTAGCACCTAACAATAGCCTAACACCTCAATAAAAAATATACCCTAAGGATGAACATTTATAGAAATTATAATAAAATATTAATATTGTATATTAAGTAATATAAATGAGGAGATCCGCAGAAGAACCAGAGTGACCGACATAGCCCGAAGAATTGCGACTTTGAAGTGGCAATGGGCAGGGCACATAGCTCGTAGGACAGATGACCGTTGGGGCAGTAAAGTCCTCGAGTGGCGACCACGGACCGGAAGACGCAGCGTGGGAAGGCCTCCAGCAAGGTGGAGCGACGATCTGGTCAAGATTGCTGGAAGGCATTGGATGCGAGCAGCGCAGGACCGATCGTCGTGGAGATCTTTGGGGGAGGCCTATGTCCAGCAGTGGACGTCTTCCGGGCTGCGATGATGATGATGATTGTATTTGTAGTCACCATTATCACTTGGTAAATAATGTGATGCTGTTCATGTATATAGACGACAGTTACCACTTACCATCAGGTAGGTCATCAGTCAGCTTGCCATTCATTAGCAAGCCAATGGCAATGTAATTTTAATAGATTTTTTCTTACCTATCCACGAACTTTGTTCGTATGTGATGTTTGGATGTTCATGCGTATACTGGGGCAGCAGAACCGCTGAGAAGCCCTGACAGAATCCCACCGATATGTTGATGGACTGCGCGGCGAGAGCCGCCAACACCTGTAAGCAAACATGATTTCCTGGTAACTTACGGAACAAATGATAAACATATACCGGCTCGTAAAGTAGATATATACCAAAACGTAGAAGTAACTCATCAAATTAAACCAGTTTTCTCCGACGATGGTAATCAGAAATAAGGTTTAAAATTTTCATCTATACTTATAAATAAAATTGAAGTGTCTGTTTGTAATATTGAAGTAACCGTTTTTTACTACATGCATATGAATATAAATACGGTACATACACCAAAATGTCATTTTTTACAATTTTTGTCTGTCTGTTTGCTCGGGCTAATCTCTGAAATGGCTGAACCGATTTTGACGGGACCTTTTTTGGCAGGTAGCTGATGTAATAAGGAGTAACATAGACTACTTTTATTTTAAAAAAATCTTTTATTAGAAAAATAATGTTAAATTCCAATTGTATGAAGGTTTTCATTTTGCTATTTTGGGGAAGTTGTTTAATTTGATCAATACTATCACAGGCTTTTGATTTCGTAGACTTTACACTACAAGTTTAGTTAGTCAATATAAACATATTGTTTAGTAATATTATTATTATAAAATTTTGAATTTGAATTTAAATTTGAATTGTATGACGAATTTTATTAGAAACGCATTGTACTTGTAAAAGCAAAATAACGTTTTAAATTGAAACTAAATATAATAATAATAATCTCAAGACAATTCACACAGCGTCATCTAGACCTAATATAAGCTAGCTAAAGCTTGTGTTATGGGTACTAGATAACTGATACAAATACATAGATATTTTTTTTTCGTAAATACATACATATTATACATATAAAACACCCAGACAAACAGTCTTACTCATAAATACAAATGTTTGTGCCGTCCGAGGAATCGAACCCGCGACCATCAGACGTAAAGCGGTGTGCTAGACCACCGAGGTCGTCATAATCGTCATAAATATAATTGTTGTATTACATTATGCCGTTACAAATTCATAATAAATTACAGCATATGTTAAAAATATGTTAATAATGAAAGTAAATAGCTAAAATGTATTTACAAATGTTTCGTACATATGCTAAATATGTTTTCTATTAATAACTCATCTCAGTTTTGCACAGGTGTAATTATTGTAGTATCCTCAATTTTGTATACAACTAACTGTGACCGCTATTTCACCCGCATGACTTTTACAGCCTATGTATTATTCTTATGTATAAGCTATATTACTGTAACGTTTGGTCAAAATCCGTTCAGTAATTTTTACGTGAAAGAGAACATCCATCCATCCATACTTACAAACTTTCGCGTTTATAACATTAGTAATAATAATAATAATAACAATCTCAGGACAATTCACACAGTGTCATCTAGACCCAAGTTAAGCTAGCTAAAGCTTGTGTTATGGGTCCTAGACAACTGATACAAATACATAGATAATTTTGTTTTTTTTTCGTAAATACATACATATTATACATAGAAAATACCCAGACCGATACAAACAATCATACTCATGAATACAAATGTTTGTGCCGTGCGAGGAATCGAACCCGCGACCATCGGTCGTAAAGCGGTATGCTAGACCGCTAGACCACCGAGGTCGTCAAATCGTAGTAAGATATGGTGTACCTTTCATTTCATTAAATTATTTAAATAGATTTATCGAGTTCCATAACAATAATCAATTTGAATGAATTTCTAATTAGAATTCACCTGTATACAAATCTTTTATTTGTTCCTCAAGGAGACCCACCCGCCCTGGGAGGCAAGTGGGTACAGTGGTACTTCTACTCACTGAAGTATCCACTTGCTAAGATGTTTTACCAAGATGTCCCTCAATGAACACGAACAAATCCATTCTGACATTTCCTAATTGCATTGAATATGTTAACATGAGAAGCAATAATTGTCCGTGACTTTACTTAAAATCAGTTTCAATATAAAACTTGCAACCCGCCCGGATTCGGGCAAGTATTTCAAACGAATTACACAAAATATTTAAGAACTATACACGTAAATCTTTTTAAATATCTGTTTTATGATATGTGACAAGCGCGTAAAAGTACGTATGGTAGTTTTTGAAATATATTTTTGAAATATATATATGAAATATATAATATTCGCGAATAAACAATAATAATAATAATCTCAAGACAATTCACACAGCGCCATCTAGACCCAAGTTAAGCTAGCTAAAGCTTGTGTTATGGGTACTAGACAACTGATACAAATACTTAGATATATTTTTTTTTCGTAAATACATACATATTATACATAGAAAACACCCAGACCGATACAAACAATGATACTCATGAATACAAATGTTTGTGCCGTGCGAGGAATCGAACCCGCGACCATCGGACGTGAAGCGGTGTGCTAAACTAGACCACCGAGATCGTCGCAAATAAACAAATGCGGCGGCATTTTATTTTATTACATACTAGCTACCCGCCCTGGCCTTGCACGGGTGTACATGTATTATACATATAAGCCTTCGTCTTAAATCGCTCTATCTATTGCTAAAAACTGCATTAAAATGTGTTGCGTAATTTAAAAGATATAAGCGAACAGACAGCAGCGTCGTCTTTGTTTTATCTATACATATACATAAAATTGGAGTATCTGTTTGTAATATTGAAATAACCGTTTTTAATACATGCATATGAATATAAATACGGCTCAAACACCAAAACAACATTTTTTACTATTTTTATCTGTCTGTTTGTTCCAGCGAATATCTGATATGGCCGGAACTATTTTGACAGGACTTTTATTGGCAGGTAGCTGAAGTAATAAGGAGTAACTTAGGCTACTTTTACTTTTTAGAAAATTTAAGTTAAATTCCACGCGGACGGAGGGTACAGCTAGTACTATATAAAGATATAGAGCAGTAATTGTATGAATAAGTATATGATTTGACCACGTGGCCGTTAGCAAATTGCTTTTTGCCTAGTTATTGTTTATCGACATTATCCGCGGTACATTTTCACGTGTTATTGTCTTCTCACGCATATATAATGTTGAGGAAAATGTGCAGCGGCCACGTGTTAACTTAATCGAACGAATTATTATGTCGGATGAATGTTCAGAAACGTTATTGAAGATAAACGATGTCTAGAAGGGGGAAAGGGATTGTTAATAATGTGGATTGATAACCCCATTGCTAGCAATGTACCATTTCAGGTTGACCTCCACGCGGTTCCCCCTGGAAACCATCGTGTTAAATTCCTGGTGAATTTGTCACGGTGTGCTAACTAAACTGAGCTCATGCTCATCTCATCCTCCACTGGTGCCCCGCCAGCGTAAACCGTTAGCGCAGGCGGGTGCACCATTCCATTATCAAGCCTAAAAAAAAACCGGTGTCTATAAATAAGTAAGTCTACACATACACAGACTAAGTACACCGAATGTGCACCGGCCATATCTTAACTTAATCGAACGAATTATTATGTCGGATGAATGTTCAGAAACGTTATTTAAGCTAACATAACCAAAACAAACTGTATGTACTCCAGTGTGCGTGCTGTTTTTCAGAGAAATAAGAAATTGTAGTCGTCTGTGGTCCAGTAGTTTAACAAGCCGGTTTATATGCGATTGTAATGGGTTCGATTTCTCGCACGGTGGAAACAATTGTATTCATGAATATGATTGTTTGTATCGGTCTGGGTGTTGTCTATGTATTTACAAAAAATGTATTTAAGTATTTATTCTTAAGTAATTCTACTTAGATTGGGACTAGATGGCAGAGATGATCAGAGTGTATTTAGGGGTTGAGGTCTATGATCATCAATATACGAATAGGTTGTGATGATGATAATGATGATATCATCATCTTAAGTCATAAAATATACAACGAAAATGTCTATTGTAAAAACAATGTTCACATTTTCCCTATTGAATAATGTAAAACTATTATCTCCATCGTTTCATAGCTATTAACTTTTCTGTGCTCTTTACAATTTTCACATCAAAGCGTCAATTTTTCTATTTTACAATATACATAAATGAGTGCGCTAAGTGGTTTAGAAATAATCGCAGCCAACCACCGGAACCGTTTGTTGTCATTATATGTACAGCGTTATTTATTTTACGTGACACTGCTCAAGCGCATGATTGCACCGTAATCAATATTAAATAGTTTTATATTATTAATAATGTTATATGTGTTTAATACAGCGAAATTATAGGAGGCATGACGCTATACTTCCGAGATGGTAACACATGATTATAAGTATAAGTGACTGTTGGCAGTTTCCATCATGTGGGCAATCATTGTTGTTATAATTCCAATTATATTACAAAAAAATTAACTAATATAATGTATAAATATAAATTTAACTGTGAAAAAAATTATTACAATTTTTGTTTAACAAATAATAATTATATCAACCACTAAAACTAAAATTGTTGCAGAATAGTTAGAGACTAATATAAAATAATTGCAAAAAGAAGGATTTTTGCAATTATTTTATATTTCTCATTCATTCATTTTGTTTTTCTCGTCATATCTTTATATAGTGTAAAATGTCTGTCATTTTAATGTAGTTTTTAACAACAGATAGAATGATTCGAGAGGAAGGTTTATATATATAATACATGTACACCCGTACGAAGTCGGGGTGGGTAGTTAGTAAGGAATAACATCAGGTATTGGTAGATATTATACGGCAAAAATTGCACCGTTAGTTTCAAAAATAAATTTACGAATGAACATGGCCGTATAGCTTTAAGTATATCCAGAATTTATTTGTTACTGATTCATTATTGTTGTTTTCATTTCCGCTATCTTTTTTATATGTGGCAACACAAATAATTAGTGCGGAAGTCTTACCACGACTACATAAAATATTTTGGTAAAATTCACTATAACAAAGTAACTTGATGGACCCTCCATAGTGTTCCTATAATATTACGTACTACATAAAATATTTCAGACTTTATATAGATCTTTCAATAAATATTCTAGACCAAAATGGCAGGTATAAGGTGATAATCTCAATATACTATATGTATAGTGAACGTAAG